ATTAGTTCTAGGGCTCATTTGGTACCTTGCAGTTGCAGACGAGGCCCAGAGGGATTCCAGGACGTGCCTGGGTAGTGAGGCTGAAGACAAACTCAGAAGACTTATAGCAAAATATTACTAGACGCGGAATCTGAGGTCTGTGGTCGTTGGTTTTGAATTTTGTTTTCCTCTTGCTCTCCTTTCTGCCACGTTGCCGCACCTGTCTGAGGGAGTCGGGGATGCAGCAAAGCTGTGATATTAACACTTGCGATGCCACACATAGTTCCAGAGGCAAAGGCGTGCTTGAGTGCTTGCAGAGAAGAGGAGAAAATCAGCCAGCAGGGCATGCACACTGACGAAATAGCAGTATAATTCCCAGGGCTAAAGTGCCAAAGACCTTGAGCTTCTGTTCCAGTCCGTGGAGCCAACAGGAAGGCTGGGTTTGCTGAGTCCAAACATTATTCCTCGGCCTCTTTCTGGACCTCGAAGAGTCCTGCCATAGAATATATAATCACATTGGCCTAGAAGAGTTAAATTTCAGAGAAATCTGGCTGAAAAAAAAAATATCAGTTCCTTTTGCTTCTAAAACTTCCAAATGTCTTGTTCATGGCTACTCACAACTCATAGCACAACACCTTACACTCACCTTTTCTGTCCCTCTCTACCACCCTTACCAAACAAACAGAAGGCAAAAATACTTGTTCTCCTGACAAACCCGTGGGTTTACTGAACCACAGGGCTTAGCACTTAATAAAGAAAAGTAACTTCTCATAGATCACTATGTCTGAAGCTAAGAAAGACTAAATGGAAAAAATGATGTCTTACCATACCAGGTGCCTTGGTAAGGGCCCTGCCATTTCCTCATCTCACCGAATCAGTTGAGGCATTTGCCAAATACCAAGATGAAGCTCTGCCAGAACCATGTAGGATTTGTAGACATGGACGCATACGGGCGATGCCTTTGTGTAGAATCTTCTGAGTGAGCCACTTTGTGTGTGTGTGTGTGTGTGTGTGTGTGTGTGTGTGTGTGTGTGTGTGTGTGTATAGAGGTAAAAGGCAGTGTGTTGGTGAAACCTGGTCGGGAAAGCACCCTCACACTGTGGCAGCCAGTTGTAAGAGGCAGGTGTGGTACTGAAATACCAGTGCAAGACTGACCTCCGGGCTTCCCAGTGATCCCAGTTTAGTTGGAGGTAGGAAACCAGGAGGAGTGGTTCTGTCATCCTTTCAGCCTGGGAAACTCATGGGTAAGAGCATGAGGGTCCCATCCTTGATTTTTTTGCACGTCTTGCTTTGGGGGGGGGTACCCTTGAAATTTAGCTCTTGGAACTTGAACCTGATAGACTCACTGCACTCCTTCATCAAAAGCTGGGGCCTTGAGATGGTGTGAAACAGGAAGCTTCGAGAACTTTCGGAACTTCTAAGTCCAGGAAGACAGCATTTTGGGGACAAAGCTGGTCAGTTCCTGTCTACAGTTCTAAGTTCTTTTTTTCTGTTGATGCCTGGGTTCCTTTGGGGGTGCCCAGAACCAAGTTCCTCACCAAGGTTTTTCTGCACTATGGGATCTACCCAAACACTGGGTTGAGACCTTGGGTGATTTGTAGGTTGGACAGGTTCCAATCCTGAAGGGGGCAGACTTCCCAGTCTGTTGTTCAGTTTGTAGCTCTCAGCCTATGGGTGCCCAAATGTCTTTTCAAATTTAGTTTTTATTATTGTGTGTGTGTGTGTGGAGGCACACATGCATGTCTAGGTCAGAGGACCCTTTGTGGAAATTAGTTTTCTCCTGCCCACTTTACCTGAGGATTGAACCTAGGTTTTTCAGTGTGTAGTGCAGGCACCTTTACCCTCTGCACCACCTCACTGGCCCCTAAATGGCTTTTGATTAGATCCTTTTCACAAAGGAGAAGGTAGGAAAGCACAGGATTCTGCCCCGGCCCCCACCACCATGGTGACCTTTTTCTACTTCACCGATAACTCTTGGGAACATGCTCCCTGCCTCTCACTATCTTGAAAGCTTCATCTTGAAGTGAGTTGGGGGCTGGGGAGATGACTTTTTTCTTCTACATAAGCACAAAATCCCAAATTCAGGTCCTTAGCATCCATGTGAAAGATACCATGTATATCTGTAACCCCAGGACTGGGAGGCAGGGGAGAGAGTAGGTCCCTGAAGTTTGCTGCCAGTCAGGCCTGCCAAGTTGGCGAGTTCTAGGTCTAGTGAGACATACTTTCTTCAAAAGATAAAGGTGGACAGCTGAGGAAGATAACTAATATTAACCTTTGGCCTCCATGTGCACACACATGTGCACACACACTCATATACCACATTACACACAGGAGAGCACAGAGGAGAGCAGGAGGAGGAGAGGAGAATTGACTGTGATCGGGTGGGCCTCAAATCCCGGAACTCAGGAGGTGGGGGTAGGGAGACCCCGAGTTTGAGGCTAGCTCGGCAACAACGTGAGACCCTGTGTAACCGAAGAAAGAAGAGGACAGAGGGGAGGGGCAAGGATGGAGGGGCCGGGAGGCAGACTGGTTATGCCATCGGTGGGCACAGGGCCAGGGAAAGAAGAGAAAACACTCTAAGTTACATATAATACAAGGCAAGAAGAGATATATAGAACACAGGCTTCGAGGAAAGCAAATTACCCTTCCTGGGTGGGAAGCATGCCTTGATTGGATGGCTTCTGGGCTCCCTTATTGGCTTGTGATTCCGAGTCCGCTGCTGCGTTTGTCTCTGATTCATGGGAAGCAGGCAGAGGCAGCCTGGTCCTGCTACACATCTGCCCTTGTCCTTCCTGAGCTGGGTGTGGGGCCGGAAGGAGTAATGTAGAGGCTGTGCTTGACTTGGGGCTCCGTACTGACAAGCCCACCCCGAGTCAGATGGTAGACAGCCGCGGGAGTGCCTCGGGATGCAGGCCCTGCTCTTTACAACCTGCCTTTTGGGCTTTGCATCAGCATTAGTAGGTAGTGCATGCATGAGGCAGCCAGATGTGGGGGAGCAGTTGAGCCTTGCAGTTTCCCAGCAGGGAGTGTTTCACCCATTTTGGTCGAGGCTGAAAGTAGACAGCCTCTTTTCACTCCCTTTCATTGATTCTTCTTTAACAATAATCAGGAAATAGCTATACTCTCGGGGGAAGTAGTAAAGTAAGGAACTATTCTTGGAGAATTTGAGGAGGAGAAATAAAAAAAAAAAAACAAAAAACCTTGCCTTGGCTTTCTGTATGTTCTGGCTAAAACATTATATGGCAGAAGTGGAAAAGCTCATTAAAACAACAATCTAAAGTTAGGGGGAGGTGAGAGTTGGATCTGGGTGGATGGAGGAGTTGGAGGTGAATGATGAAAATACATTGTATGAAATTATCAAAGAATTCATAATACTATACTAAAATACAACCAAATCTGACACACGGATTTGAGCTTAGAATTCCTCCAACCCGGTCCTCTGGCAGTCTGGGGCTCTGGAGAGCTGGGTGGTCCACTGGCCAGCGTTCTGCACCAGCACACAGTGGTCAGCAGGTGGAGCCAGCTCAGGAGTCTCTGTGTAGACTCTGTGGAGCACACCTACCTGCTGTCTTCTGGGTAGGCACAGACTCAAAGCCAACAACATCCCGTGTGAACTTGCCATCTAGGGAGTCTGGAGGACCCAGGTCGCCTTGCCATCTTTTAGATTTGAAAGTGATTAGGTATTGAGATGTCCATGTGTGGCTGAAAGCCATTAATGGCTGGGTCATCACAGACCTGGAAGGATGGGTGTGCTATCCTGAGCTCTGGTAGCTCTTGGGTGACTTTGGATGACTCAGTGTGTTGCTCTGGTCTTAGGCTTTTCAGAGACACTGGCTGGGAGACTGACCTCCTTTCCCAGGTCTGGGCCAGTGACTCCTTGCTGAGCTCCCATGAAATGCAGCCAATGCCTTCTGGCTGACAAAGCAGGGTTGTCACTGGTAAGTGTTTATGTTGCACTTTAGATCTGCAAAGTCCTTTCTCTGAGTTCCTTCTTTCCTCAGTGCCCCAGCTGAAGAAACTAAAGCCCACAGAGGCGATGACTGACTGACCCTGGTCAGCTGGCAAGTTAGTGGCCAAGCTGATGCGGAGTGTCTGGGTGACTTCTTACTCCAGCATAGCTTCTCTAGATGATGTTGTTTACCCCTCACTAGTTTCTTTCCAAATTTAACTGGGTTCTTTTTGGAGGGAGCTGTAGATTTCCCTGGTTCAGGTTTGCAATCCATCACTGGTGAGCAGACAGCCATAATTAAGTGGGGGAAACTCCATCCCAGGTGACCCCATTATAGAGTTTGTCCTAGGCCAGTGTGAGGATGGTGTGGGAGCAGGGGGAGGGAGTTGGACGTTCCTGTGTGAGTTGTGGGGAATGATCAATGCTGTTCTGGACTGTTGAAGGTTTAGGTACAGGAAACAGATGAAGAGTTCTAGCAAAAACTTAGTCGTCACTTAAAGACGAGCATTAAACAAATTGAATTAAAAGAATGTTCAATTTTGCACCTAAAAGTCGGGAGGTTTTTGGCTTCCTCTCCAGACTCCACTAGTGACAGAGGGGTGTTATCTTGCCAATAAGACAGAGAGAGACATTGGTGAAAATATTGAAAACTTTTCCTGTAGAAATGCCGCACATCTTTCCATTTGTATTCTGTCCACTTACTTTCACTGAGATTCAGATTTTCTGTGTGACTTGTGTGACTTCGTGTCCTTGTAACTTAAATCACCTCTGTAAAGTACAGGTGTTGGGTAGAGATTGGTGTCTGCATGCGTGTCTTTAGGAATAGTCAAAAATAAAATCTCTGCTCGGCTCCCTCCTCCCATTGAATCAAGAGGGTGAGTGGCTGCATTCTGAGTATCTAATAGCCTCCTTTCTAAACATTCACACAGCCTTTTCCATATTGCTAAGCGTTCGCTGTAGAACTAGCGATACGGGCGAAACAGGAAGCATCTCTGTGCTGGATAGGATGCTCAGAGTCACCCTCCACTCTCCCAGGGAACGCTCTTCAGCTGACTGAAGCAGGGAAGCCGAGCCAATCAGAGGCCGCTTTCCTAGCTCTGTCGCCAGTCTGTGGTTGAGGAAGGCTTTTGCTTTTTATGCTCTGTATTGGGGAGGCAGATAAAATGCCAGGTCTGGACTGCCTCTGGGGATAACCTCACCCTGTGTGATGTGAATGAATAGCATCCTGCCTGGTAAATTCACAGGAATTGATAAGGCAGGCGCAGTTCTTCCAAAGAGGCCTTTTCTTTTTTAGCTCTAGCTGTGGTTTCTACAGCAATATTGTTTTTGCCTTAAAAGAGGTGCTGTGGATTATCAGACCTCCATGTATGACAATTTGTACCTGCATGGAGTTGAAGACTCGGAGGCTGTAAGTATTTCATAGATAGCCGGTTCCCCCTCCCCTCCTCTTCCTCCTCCCATTCCCCCTCCTGTTTCTTAGGCATCGCAGGAAACATGGAGCTGAAAGCTGACAGCATCGGGGGGCTTGCTGGCAGCTGGGTATTCTCTGTGTAGTTTGCAGCTAACTGAAATTATTTATTGTCAAGCAAGAGGGAAATGAACTTGATAGCGAAGCCACCTACGAGAATAGGCTGTTGGGCTTTCTGTATGACCAGGGCCACGTTTGATTCATGAGGGGGTAACTGCCCCTTGAAGACTGGTTTAAACTATGCAGAAAGTGCTGCTTTTCCCAGTCGCAGGGTTCGCGGGGAAGACTCATTCATTATATAATAACACTGTTTGTTGAGCTAGAATGAATGGAAGGTCCTCCGCTGTAGCGGTGCTATTATGTGCTTACTGGCCAGACAGGCAGTGCGGTTGCTGCTGCTTCTTTGTTAAGGAAATCAGCTGCGAGGGTCGTGCACACAGTACTCCAGCGCAGAGGCGGGAGGTGGTGTCCCTGTACTATGTCCTGGAAGACCGAAGTGAACTCACATGGGTTTGGTCTTAGAAAACTGGACTCCTGTCCCCTGTCCTGAAGCTCAGCCCCCCTGCGCTGTTTTACAATCAGGATGCAATGATTTTCTTCAGTCCCTGCATTTGTAGCGTAGTATGCCGTACAGTGTGCAGAGAGGTTAAAACCGATGGCTGGATTCTTCTTTCCACTATTGCCAGGGGTGGCACCTGTTTTTGCATCACTTATATAGAAACCTTGCAAGGAGGGATGATGAGGGGCGGCCCATGGGACGTGCTGTGGGGAGTCTGAATTTTATATGAGTGCAATGCCATGCATGTTGTTACATTCAAAACTGAAATGTGTTATATAAGGTTCTCTGGCTAAATCACCCAATAAACAGATTATAACAGAAAAAAAGAGCCCTATGGCATACGTCAGTGTAGACGTATGCATCACAACTGCTGTCCATGACAGACAGCAGCCTTCGGTTCTCATAAGGCTTTCCATTTCCCCTTTCTGTCTGCGTTAGTGGAAACTCTAACTCTAGTTTTTTTTTCTTCTGAGAACTCTCTCTGCATCTCGCACAACGTGCTTCAAAATGACCAGGCTGTCAATTTATTGCAAGGGACGGTAGTCTGTAACCTGGGGGTGGAAGTCAGGAGGGCCCGCTCTTGCAGGTAGGGTTGAGAAATGGAAGAGACAACTACTGAGTTTAGTCGCCAGCTTCCCAGCTGGGTTCCTCGGGGGCCTTACCATTTCTGACACTCTGTCCTCACACTCACTTATACAACGTGCGATGCCTTCTTGAGTTGTACGTTTTCCTTTTTGACCATACTTTTAAACTTGGGCAGTGCTGCTTTGAAGTGGATTGGAGTTTGTTTTCTCTTTTCCAGAAATGCTTTTAGAAACCAGCTGCTATGAGCAGCAGAGTCGCCTAGGAACTAATGTGTGCAGCTCCTTGTTCTCCAGAACTGTCTAGATTTCAGACGCACTGGGTCAGAGGGGAGCCGTATAAGTGCAGAAACATTTGTTTTTCCTTTTGGTCCAGCCTTTCAGGACGGCTGATTTTCCTGCAGGGTGGGAAGAGAAGGGCACAGTGGCTTGACTCGTGGCTGTAGCTGATGGAGGGTAGTACAAGGTACTGTGGTGCTGTCTTTTCGGTGACTCAGTGATGGCCAGCAGGCTGAGCCTCCTGGGGACTGTGTACATCTGCAGACGTGAGGAAGGTGGACAGGCTGAGGAATGAAGGAAGGCATCTGGCCAGTTCTCAGTTGAGAGTCCGGGAGGCTTTTGGGGTGGGATGAAAAACCGTGGCACATAAATCAGAGGGGAAGACGGAGATGTTCAGAGGGGTGACCTGACCCTGAATGCTCATTCGAGTTTATTTGTTTTTATAAGGAAGAATAATGTGATGTGTTACCCAAGATGGTGTGAACAGAGAGAGCCTCAAGCCAATGGAGAAGACTAGGCCTAAATAGCTGAGCCGGTGGAGTGCCAGATAAAGCCACACCTGGAGGTGCCACATCCTCAGCAGTCCCTCTCAGTGCCAATGCATTTATGGCTGTAAGTGTGGGGTTTGCCCAGATCAAAGCAGAGCTCGTGGAATAGTTCTGCTGGTAGGTGTGGAAGGCTTCGCTCGGACTAGCTACCACCCGAGGGCCGACAGGCACTAAGAGCTCAGAAGGGCACTTCTCTGGGGCCCCCGCCACTCTGCGCTACTGTGGATCCTTGAGGGGGTGTGCAGAGATCAGCATGTCAGTCATGCTTATAGTTAGTGTGTCCATGCCAGGAATCTGTAACAGACCATCTTTCCTAGAGACAGATATTTTACTCTAAGAATACAGCATCAATATACACTGTGAGCGCATCTCAGCCCCATGGTCAAGAGGTTTTGGCACCATGGTGGGAGGTTTTTCTTAAGAATCTGGTCCAGAGGTGGAGATTATCCTCCTTTGGCTATAGATGCTGTCTCCTACTGTGCATATAAGATGGGACAGAGGAGCATGCTGGAACATAGTTCAGTATGGACACGTCAGATTCCTTAGTCCTGAGGAGCCTGTTTGGGCAAGTCTGTTAACTTCTGCTCTGGGTTCCAGGAAGCTAGTCAAGGGCCAAGATCACTCCCAACTGTAAGAAAATAAAACAACAACAACAACAACCCCCATTCAGTGGCCCCAGCACGGTCTCTACTAAGAGCAGAGATTTGACATAGACTGTCACATGACTTCACATGTTTGGTTTTTCTGAGGATGAAAACCAGGGACTTGTGCATGCTTGGCAAGGACCCTACCACCAAGCTTCCCCCACAGCCCTACATTACTCTGTGGGTCACTTTAACATGGATATGAGAGTATGCATTCAAGACGAGTCTATGCTGACACTAGCCCGTTTACAGTGGGCCGTGTATACAGGCTGTCATTGGCTTCTGTGTCCGGGTTTCCCACACCCTACTTTTACTGCTCCAGTGTACATTAATACAGGTCCTGGTGCTTTGTTATATAAATAACAACAGTTTTTAAATAGGGATGAATAAGGGGCGTCAGAGAGCAGAGAAGTTACATGAGCCCCACTAGTCTCAGATAGTCATTTCTTGCCGTTGCACGCTGTTTTCGGCCGTCAGTGCACATCCACGTAACTAGGTTGTTCTCGACCTGCAGCTATGTGTTATGTCCTAGTCTGTTGTCTTGTCCTCACCTGACTAAGTATCAATCATGCGAACACTGGAACCAGCCTGTGCAGACAGTGCTTTGCACCACTGTATAGAATTTTTGAATGATTTTTAAGAAAGCATAGAGTCTCAGAGTATTTTGCAAAGTGGAGCCAGGGTTAGCTATACATGATAGCTGGTTTCTTGGATCCAAGCTCTTCCATTTCCAGCTGCTTAAATTTGAAAGGGAGTAACTTGGTCGTTTTCAGTGAGAAAGATGATCAGGTCTTAATTCAAAGCATTTATTGCGGAGGAAAGCACAGTCTTTAAATATTTTCAATCACAGAAAGGAGATGTAAAATTGTTATTGATACCATTAGAGAGATTATAGTTGTAAAAGATGAAGTCAAAGAAAATTGTACAGATTATAATGTATATGTTATATTTGAATGTATTTAAATCTATATGTACTCTACACTGTTCTATTTTAATTTTTCAAACTACTTGTTTTCAATAAGCTGTATAACTGTTTGTTTGTCTAAATGTCTGTGCACCCACATGTGCATATTTACTGTGCAGTCTTGTACATCACATTCATCCAGACATGGGTATGCTTCATGCTTTGCTAACTGATGGCTGATACTAAGTGGCATATTTTTACCATAGAAACAAAGACACCCAAGAGAGTTGAGAGCCACACTTCTACTACAGAATGAAGGATTGCTGCTTCCAAAGGTGCTATGCAGTTGTTTTATATATGAAGCTATGTCCTTGTGCTTCTTAGGGAGGGAGAGAAACTTCAAACAGAGGGGTGATGGATTTAAAGGCCTTCAAAAAAATGTTCTAGAGATACTAAGGTTTGGATTTCTCTTGGAAATAACTAGACCAAAGGCCTTTATGCTTTGGTGCATCAGAGCATCCATCTGGGGTGAGACATCTTCACTGTCCATTTCTAGAGTATGAAAACTGGTTTGTAAATGAGTCTAAGGACTGGGTTTCGGCATCACTAGCTACAGAAGTAGCTCAAATGCTTGCAGTTTGTGTGAGATACCTGACGGAGAAATGCACGTGTTTCACTCAGCTGAGGTATTGTGGTAGTAAGCTGGGGTCTGTGAAGTAAATGGTGAACACAGCCTTTTCTTCCATCAAATTCCTATAAGTGATGGCTTTCTAAAGTATATATAGAAATGACTGCCAGATTAAATTGTTATGATGCTAAGAGAGGAATTCCTTACATTTGACCAGAACCTCTGAATTCGCCCCACCTGCTAGTTTCTTGTTAGTTTTCCACTTTGAGATGACGGATGGAAGTATAAATCTCAACCGTCACCCTTGTCCAGGTGCTTCTGTATTCTTTCCTTACAGCTCTTGTCTCTAGAGTATATCGAGTCATGGTAAGTGAGTTTTGCACTGTATGACTGAAGTACCCGTGAAAACAACTCAGGAGTTTGTTTTGGCTCAAGGTTTTGGAGGGTTCTTGGCCTCTTGTGCTTGGGTAGAACATCATCATGGCAGCAATGTGTGGCAGAGGAACTCCTCTATCTCATGGTAGATAAGAAGCAGAGAAAAAGGAAGACAGGAAGGGGCCAGGATATGGCTTCTGTGACCTACTTCCTCCAAGTAGGTCTGAGTTTCTTCTTTTTACTACTTCTTGGTAATGCCAGTATATAATGAATCCATGATGAGGTAACTCCATTAATTAGATTAGAGTCCTCAGAACCCATCTACTTCCTCAAAGTCCATCACCTGGCAAAGAAGCGCCTAGAGGGGAGTTTCATGTTTACAGGACAATCGAGTCCAGAGTTTTAGAATATAGTCCCGTGACTCCAATTGTCTGTCCTCAGTAGATGCCACATCACTGCGTGGCACTGTCGCCTGTGTGGTGCTCAGCAGAAAGCCCGCAGGAACTATGCAAAGCCATCCTAACGGGAAGGGAGTACAGCCTTCCTCGTCCTAGTCCACCTTTCCCATCGGATCTCATTACTGATGGTCCTTGTTCATTCTGTCCTCCATCTGTTCTTTAACACCCTTTCCCCCAGGAAGCCAGGCCTCGGAAGGGACCAGAGGACACAGCTGCACTGCTTATCATTTTCTGTCTGTCCTGTCTCTCCCACTTGTCCTTTCAGGTACACGTCATGACTTCACTCACATATCACTGCAGTGGTATTAAAAGTTAGGCCCGGTGAACTCTACAGATCTGTAATCTGCTTAAAAAACAGGCAGACTTAGGTGTTTTTTAATATGTTTGTATCAACCACAGGGGCCGTGAAAACAGCCATTTTAACCAGCCACCTGAGAATGGCCCATAGTCAAACAGGAAAATTTTATGCAACCCAAGGTATATAAGTACATAAAATAGATACACAAGTGAAGAATTTACTGATAATAAATTATAAATTTATTTTCAAAAAGGTTTTTGGACTGGCAAGATGGCTCAGCAGATAAAAATGCTTGGTGCACAAGCCTAAGGATCTAGTTCAATCCTCAGACACCACATGAAGGTGGATTGAGAGAAATGGTCCCATAAAGTTGTCCAAGCCTCGCCCCCCCAACACATGCCCACACCAATGCACAATCATTCACATAGAATGTTAAAAAAAATTTCAGAATGTCTTCAAACAGTTCCTCTGGTGTACATATAATTTCACCATCTATTAAAGACTAAATCAAATTTGCGTACTAATTAGATGAATGCACTTGTTTGAATTTGTTTCAGTTCCTGTCTTTCTGTTAGCTCATCTCATCACCTGTCTTCTGGTTTGTTGAAAAAGTTAAGTCAGATAGACTACACTTGCCACAGTAATGTCTGTCAAAGTAACTGGCCATGAAATCTCCAGCACCACATTCATCAGGACACTCTTCACAAAGGCAACTAATTTTGCATTTTTCTCCACCTAACAGAATTTCAGCACAGCCAACTTAACCTTTCTCTTCTGCTTAGTCTTCTTGGGAATGCTGTAAGACTTCTTCCTTTCCTCGGCACCACCAGGAAGTCTCAACATAGAATGAAAGGTGGACTTTCATGGAATGTTGTAGTCAGACAAAGTATGGCATTTTTCAGCTGCTTACCAGCAAAGCCTTTGCTGAGCAGGAGGAATTCCCTCCTTAACCTGGAGCTTGGATTTTACCTTTTCTACAGCATCTGAAAGTTTAACCTCAAGGGTGATGGTCTTCCCCATAAGGGTCTTTATGAAAATCTGCACCATAATGTCAGTTTTATTGAGGACTGTGGATAAGAATGCTGTTTACTTTCATACAAACAGTTAAGCTGGGCATGATAGCACACGCCTTTAATCTCAGCACTCAGGAGGCAGAGGCTGTGAGTTCAAGGCCAGCTATTTCTACATAGTAAGTTCCAGGACAGCCAGGGCTACATAGGTAGAAGCTTTTTCAAACAAACAATTGAACAAATGAACAAACAAACAAACAAATAAAAAGTGAAGGAAGGAAGCAAGCAAACAAGCAAACTAGCAAACTTTTTGGGTTCAGAGCTGGTTCAGCAGTTGAAAGTACTTGCTGCTCTTCCAGAGGACCAGGGTATGATTTCAGCACTCACATAGTGGCTCACATCTGTCTCTAATTTCTAGGGGATCTAAAGCCCTCTCATGGCCTTCACAGGACCAGGCACTCCTGTGGTGCAGAGATATACATGTAAGCAAAACAGTCATACACATAAAACAAATCTTAGGAGAATAGTAGATATTGCAAGACAGAGAACATTTTGAACAATTTTCAGAGTTGACCAGTATTTTGATTTTATAGTTACCAGTGCCGAGAATCCACTTCACATAAACATATAGTACAAGATGGCAGAAGTGTATTTAGGACCATTTCAGAAATTATTGGAAATTCTGCCCTCCTCCCAAGCCAAAATTTATGTGAATTAAAAAAAAAATGAAACCCATTAGCAGCTTCA